TTGGCCTGTTAAAACTGATAAGTATTGCTGTAAAATGTTTTGATATTCTAGCAATTATTTTGACTTTCGTACACAATACTTTTGATTATCGAACAGAAATTATTTTCAGATCTGGATTCAGCAAAATTGTTCTTTCCGTGTAGTCGACTCAATTAAAAATTATCGCGTCAATCTTTGTTTTTTTTTTTAAATAAAATGACGTAACGTTTCGTGACAATCGCGATAAAAGCTTCTCCGTTGAATTAATGCCCCGGAACGTTTCCAATGTTTTCGAACGTATCGAAATTCTCATCAGGTCTGTCTAACTTACGTTACGTCTTCGAATTCCGCGAGGCGAACGCGTACCGCTCGCGTTTCAAAACTGGGCAGTACTTAATTCCGATATTCGATATACGCGGACGGATCGGTAGGAAGTCTACTCCGTTGCCTTTTGCAACGTGGAATTTTGCAAGCTTGCCGCGAGTAGGGTTCACCGCTGAGTCGACCATTTCTCGGGGAAACTGCAATGCACACTCTTATCGGCGTAGTCGGGTTTGTAGGGACAACATTCTATTCGCGCCGCCGCCGCCGCCGCCGCCGCCGCCGCCGCCGCCGCCGCCGCGGACTTTCTATTTGCATTCTCTGTCACAAGTGTGAGAATCGATTCGAGTCTAATGCGTTCCGACTGTTTCAGCCCGCGGAAATATATAGGTATGTATATCAAGTCCGGGAAGGAAACGGCGGTGGGTCGCGCGCGCCGACGAAATCACTTTTACCACGATACCACGGTCGTTAATGAAAACTATGTAAGGTTTCTCGGACATGTTATCGGTATTATTACGGATATAATGAACCTGCAGTATAATTAATTCTCCCTCGGCAAAATCTTAACAAGAGATTTGTTCTGCAGCAGTTATTAAAATTGCGATGCCTCGAATACATTAACATTTAATTCTCGAGCAAAACGATTTAAAAAAAAAGCAGAAACTCATTTAAAATTAATCGGAAAATGGTTGCAACAATTCAATCATCACAGGCTATAATGGGCAGTCGTTGTAATTCACATTCCCGTAAAACGCAATTCGACGCACGTTTCTGCGGAGATTAATGTACCACAAGCAAGGAGATATGTACATCTTAATCAATGATTTCACGGTTTAATCGCAATCACGTCGTTGCTATATAACGGGCTCAGAGATGCGGCGGTTGTCTACTCATACTGTAAATAATACTCGTTAGCGTTAAAATGCATAGCGACTACTTAGCAATTCATACTTAATGATACATACGCATAATTAATGATACGACGATTGCGCATAAATCTTCGTGAAGAAGAGTCTTACGTTACAGTTGTTTTCTTTTTTGTATTATTTGTAAGCAATAATCGAAAGAAAAATATCATTGCGAAAATGTGCTGCGCTGTCGACTTCATTCTTCCTCCCCTCCCCGCCCCCCGATCCACCGTCAGTGTCATCCACTTTCGCTCGTTGGAATATGCATATCGCATGTAAGTAACGGAAATATCAGCATGCACGAATGGAGAATTGAAACAGGCGTGTCGAATGTTTGTTTATGATAAAATCACAGCCGTGGCCAAACATTCGTATAACGCAATGTAACTCTGTATGTAACCGTAGATGCATTTCCGCGTTCCTCCATAAATCTGCACTTATTGGAAGAGGAGAACACGCGACCGCATCCGTAATAATCAAATTCGTTACATACGTCGCACGTTACATGCGAGAGGCGCACTGATATAATTCATATTTTATTACGAAACGAAGAAAGTGTGAAGAGACACGGTTATTTATTATCTCGCCACATTAAAGCCGCATTACTTTAATTTAATACCAAGATTATAGATTAAGAAGCTGGTTTACTAAGAAAGTGAGCAGATCCTTACAGATAACAATTACGGCTCTCTTTCTCTCTCTCTCTCTCTCTCTCTCTCTCTCTCTCGCTCTCTCTCTCTCTGCAGTTTAATAGAAATTACGAACGCCACGGAATTTCTGCATCTGCGCGGGTGAAATATTACCTCGCACGACTTGATGGTGCCCGACGGTGGTTTGCAGCTGGACATGCGAACGTGCGATTTTTACGAGACCGAGAATAACGGGTCGACGCCCCTCCCCCCCGGGCGGCACGTCATTTTTCGCTTTTCGTGCAGCCGCGGCTGAATCACGCGGCGGTAGGCGCTTCCGCGAGAAGAAATTGGAAAAGTGGGAAAGGCGGCGGCGGCATCGTCGTCGTGCACGATGTATATAAACGTTCGTTACATCACGAAACGACGGCTACGTGTTATCCACCTGCGGCGTTTTCTCCGCTCCGATTATGAACCACGTGCCGCTGTGAAATCGCAATCGGCGCGATTCGCCCGTAAAAATAAAGACGAGATTATCCCTGCAGCGCGCGCAGTAACATCTCACGAGCGAGATCCCCGTGCCTCGCAAGAGAGAGAGAGAGGGCTCGCAAAAATAGCGATATTAATTGCAATTTTCCGAGTCATGCCACGAGAACGCTTTTATTATCGCGCACCGCAGTTCTGTCTGGCTTTATCTTTTCTATTCGCGGCTCGAAAGAATTGTTCCTGAAAAGGTTAAATAAATCTCATATGTATTGGGTTGCATCTCTCTTTATTCTCGTCACTCCGCGTATCTAATCAACGTCGATATGCATAATGACCATGTACGACATGTTAGTCTCGCTTGAAAGGTAATCTTAATGAAATGTCAATTCCGTACCAAACACTGCAGTTTCGTATATTATACGCACAGAATCTGCGCGCGCTTTCGTAATGTCGTTAATGATAAATTTCAGAATTTTTACGAACCCCTCGAAATGTATAATAAACTTTTACGACGAGGTTAGTAATTTAATAAACAAGGATATGCATTATATGCGCGACGTATATCGTATTCGATTTTGCGGTAAAAGTAGACTGCGAGCGCCTGGGTGAAAGTCATCGAAAATGAAAGGGTCGAGTGAAGTGTTAAATCAAACCACGCCAGACAGCCCCGTAAGTATGTTCGCGTGTACGTGTGAATGACCGTTGCTAAATATATTATCTAAGTTTTGAAACATGCACGCGCGCGTGCGTGGATACAATCGCGCGAAAGGAAATTGGATCGATGATTTATTATATTTTCGACGCCGCGTCGAGATGTATCACGTTCTATTAGCCGTTTTAATGCCAACGGCTGAACTTGCCGTTGCGAAATCTATAAACAAAGCTGTCCATTTCTATTAATGTAGGTATTAATGAGTGGTCTTAATTAAAAATAGATCATTTGTGCCAGTAGTGTATCAGGGGCAACTGTTTTCACTTTTTATTACTTCGCGCTAAAATCTTGCGTTAACGAGACGTGCAACCTTGAACTTAGTTTCAGTGGACCGTGATACCATAGGCCACGGTTTATTTATGGTTTTGCGGTTAACGCAAGTCGCAGATCGTTAGCGAAAGTTCCACTGCTTTCTAAACACGCTCTCTATTTTACTGGTAAAAGATGAGCGAGACAATGGCAGCTGTCATTTAACGACTGCGTATCTCAGTGTGTAGTGCAGAGAGTACCTTATTTCAGACTTCTATAAGAATCCACAAGTATCACCGCAACTATGTAATTGTCCTAAGTGGTACTTTACGATCGTGACGTGTTAAACGCGATAAATTAACAAAAGCATAAAAAACTTGTACTGCCATAAAACTTTTTATCAGGAAATGGATTGCAGTATACATTTATATATTAAAAAAAATGCTTTACGTACAAGAAAATTATAAATATTATTTTACATATTACGTTATACTTTATTTATAGTTTTACATACACAAGAAAATGAGAGGGAATTATATATAAAAAGATTATTAAAAGTAAGGAAAAAGATAAAAAAATAAATATATCTTATATATTAAATTGTTAATAAATAAATAAATACACACCTTAAGAAATTCCTTAATATATTACTTCCGGCATTCGCGATGGCAAAAAAGGATAACCGCTTGTAACAGCCGGACAGGTGGATGGAAATGTCATTAGTGAGTGTCAACGCGATTCAATCACGCGGAATAGACCGCTGCACGTACAGGATGACGGTTGTGCGCAATATCCTGTATCTTACACGATAGACACCAGAAGAATGTGACAACCATTCCTGTTTTTTGCCACTCTCACGGCGGATATAAATACGTAGATTGACATAACTTAACGGCGGCAGTTTATGTCACTTGTTAGATGCGCTACGTGCCCGACGCGATGCTAGTGAGCTAGCTCGCGATAGAACCGGTAACAAAGATGACAATTCCGGCCCACGTACATGCGCGCACGCGTGCACATGTATACGCAAAATCCTCTGAAGTAATCTAATTACAATAATTTCGTTATAATAATGAAAGCTTCACTTTCATTATATGCGAAGTCAGTTCCTCGCTTACGTCCTCGCGAACAATACGATTCCTAATGACGATAATATTAATATACCTCGTTATCTCTGACGAGAATCTGTCGTAATTAAGTTATATGATATCCCATCGCTTAGCACGTAATCCAACACCAATGTAAGCATGCAATTTATATGTGACGCAAACAGCTGTTATAATTATTAATTAAACCAGCAATCTAAAATTTTCCTAAAATGTACATTGCATTTTTATAATACATCGTACACTGTTATTAATCAAGTCATTATATTCAGAAATTTGATACGGAAAAAATATTTATTATAATTCGCGCATTTATTTTTATTCTTTAATCTATAAATTTGATTTTCGCTTTCTAAAATTATATCGGTCTTACCTCTTTTTGCAGATTCCTTTTAGACATTTATTCTGTGTGCCTCGACATCGATCATTATTCGCGTAGGAAGAGTTAATTTTCTTTTACAGCGTAGTTCCTGAAGCATTTCACCACGCCGCACAACGCCGTACGAAAGGTAGTATATTCGAGGCGTCGCGCATTATGACATCAATGAGTCAGTACCAACACATACCTAGTTGATTACGGATGGTAAAATATGTATTCAGGATGGGAAACATTTTGCGATGACTTAGTACTCCTTCGGAAATAATGAGCCTGTAAATTATAAAAACATTCGATCTACACGCATGATGAAATGGGACAGTGAGATTAATTCTCAGATATTTATATTTCTTTATGTTACTTAACAGTTTATACACTTTTCTTAGAAAATTCAAGTAATAAAATTTGAAACTGCCATGTTTAATAAAATATATTTTAAATGTGTGTAAAATGTTTTAAATAAATTTATTCTACTATAATTATTATGTCAGCATTTTTTTTCTTTCAGATATAAATTTCTTTTTCATAAATTTGTCAAAAATTTAAAATTAATTACATTTCATAAATTCACGTTCTAATATTTGTGTCACGCAAATTGTCCGATTACATATTAAGACATTTCGCAATATCCACTCGTGGTACCGTTTCAGCACGCCCGAATAACATGTTGCCGCAATAAGAAACAGCGCGGTCTCAATGGATTTTCGGCTGACGGTCGTAGGAAACGGAGCACGGACCTATGGTTTCCACGGGCGTAATGTGAGATCTTTCGTAGGTATAACAAAGTAGGTGTGTCAGTCGAAATATAATTGAGATAATGTGTAACCGGTAGTTGCGTTACGATTAACTTTCGTACCCGCTTTCTTTGGAAGAAACTAATCACACAATTGTCTAGATGTCTCAGCAAAATGAAAGCAAAAATTAAGATTATAATCAATAGAAATTTCTCAAGAACATTATAATTTGTAAAAAATAAAATTCTCGATAATCTTAAAAACTAAAAATTAAATAAAAATGATATGATAATTAATAACAGTTTCGTACTAAGCAACGTAAGAGTTGACTTCTGCCTAGCAAGAAACTCGTCGAGAAGTCTAATTAGAGTTATACAACGTTAAGAATTGCAGTGTTTTGGTGAATTAAGCTTCAAGAGCGTGAACCAGATAACGAGATCTAATTTTTTATTCAATTTCGAGCAAATTTTCCTCGGAAAAGAAATTTAATTTCAATTACGAAACCAACAACGAATAATTGTCAATCAATGAAGTCATTTCTAGAGAGCAGTCATACAATTTTAGTAATAATTTCTATTTATCAGAATTCTCTTCCTCCCCCCCCCCTCTCTCTCTCCCCTGCAGAAATTAAAAAAGGATGGACTTCGGATTTGTCAAGCAATTAGTAACAAAGAGAAAGTATTATAGTGTCTCCCGATATACATACCCTGTACACTTTTCCCGGATATCCTGCATATTTTAATTATTTAGATTTCAATAGGTCCGCCGAGAGAAAGAGAGGCAGAGAGACTCCGCGCGTGTCTGCGTTCGCGGACCTCGAGGTAGGGTCCGCCGAGAGAAAGAAAGGCAGAGAGATTTCGCGCGTGTCTGCGTTCGCGGACCTCGAGGTAGGGTCCGCCGCGAGAGACAATGATCCTCCCGGCGGAGGAAACGTGCGACGCGAGAGGTGAGATAGACAGCCGATACGTCCACGAACGCGAGGCATATCAAGGAGGCATCAAAAAAGTGAATACGAAACCCGGAGGAAATTGCATGATGTAATAATTGTCCTGTGGGAGTGCCTAGAGTGGAGCGAATACCACAATACCGGTGTTGCACACTATGGGAACTATTGTTACAGATTTTACAGTCTACTACTGTGCGCTCCTTGCCCGGCCGTCAACTCCCACGTGGCTTTCACTTGTCCCCGCGAAGCCAAACTTCTTCGTATGTTCCATTCTGTCAGGACATCACGCTCATTCCCTGCACGGTAAACGCGTTTCCGCTCCTTTACGTCGTCATTTGATCGATGCACTTTCTTCGCAAATTGCGTGATTTTTTTTTCAGACATTCAACAGTCTCTAGTCTAAGGCCGCAGTTGTATTAATATAATATTAAAAAAAATAAATAAATAAATAAACTAAAATGTATTTCTTCTAAATAAAATAAAATAAAATATATTTAGTCCTACGTAATTTGTAAAATCGTCAATTTATGTCAATATGATGGAATCGATAATTCATGTATATTTAATGAAAGAAAAGAGACAATCTTATAATTAAAGTAACTCAAGCAAGATGTAAAATTTAATCGCTAATCGAGTTAATTTGCTTAACAAAGGAAAAAAACACACAGTCGCTTTTCGCCACCCACATCGCGCAGCAATCGATCAGGTGACTTTTCCCGTGTCTTCAAGTCGTTGGAGACAATTTTTAGGTAATTTTGTGCGACAAAAGAATATATAATCGGGAGTAAACACAACCGCGAGTCTTTATTGTCGTGTATTATTTGTCGAAGCAGGCATAGAGGCGACGCGCGCGTCGCTTTGCGTTTTTACTAGCCGGGAAAGCTGTCATTCGGTATACCAGCGTCTTAATGAACGTTTAGGGGTCATCAAGGTTGAACGTGGCGGCGGCGCGACGCGGTGCGCCGTGGTAGGGGCGCGGCGGTGGTTGCCTATTGTGTCACCCTATATATAACGGCACCCGACACCCCACGCCGTATTAAGAACATTCACCGCATCCGCGGTAACATGGTTTCCAGTTCCAACAAGGTATATTGCCGAGTATTCCGAGCTGGCGCGAGTGCGCGAGAGTAACGTGTTTATGGTGCCCGCGATCCGCGTAAGAGAGAACGAAAGAGAGAGAAAGGAAGAAAGAGCGAGAGAAAGAGAGAGAGAGAGAGAGAGAGAGAGAGAGAGATCGATTTCGCTATCAATCTAAATGCGAGTGCTCGGCTAAACGTTCCGACGATTTTTTTTTTCGCAAAACGATATTGGTGCTCGTGGGAAAGTGCGCGCCTTGACGAACGACTGCACGCGATGTCTCGCCCATACGTTCCTCAAGATTTATTTCCTGAGAGAACGCTTTAGAGGAGACGCGAAATGTTGTAGAGTGACAAGTGCATCATTATGTGAATGTGAACGCGTATTACGAAAGTATTTCATTTTGAATACGTAAACGTCGAATAAGTTAAGAGCGCGCGATTTCGGCGCGGAAATCCAAATCGTTTCAAAATTCGTGTATTTACGATTCATCGCAATTTTTGGCACTTATTTACGTAATACATCAGCATCATGACTGTGTTCGCGTTACTGCGTCTTTTCTTCATACAGAAAAATCATCTTTCCTTTTAAGATGACGCCATGGCTGATGGCATTCCTCTGCCTGGTGACGGCCGGCTGCACGAACGTTACGGACCAGCAGCCATCGGAAACGAATCATGATCATCAAGTGGCGATCTTGAAGCAGATCAGAAAGGTGAACGAAGACGGCTCTTATACGTATGGCTACGAAGCCGGCGATGGATCATTCAAGGTAATTACGTGCGTAACTACTTAAGCGCGGCGTAATGTAACCGCGCCTATCGCCTGATTTTTTTTTCCAAGAATCATAAATTGCACCGCACAATAAGTTTCCCACAGTATCGGGTATTAATTAGACCGAACAATTCTTTTCATGTCTGATTACATTTAAAATAGCGATGTGTTAAGCAAACAATGCCAATGGCAATGTTAATTATATCAATGTCAACAGCTAACAGATAACTTGAAGTCACATAAAAATCTAATTGTGGCAGACAATTAGAAAAGATTACACAGATCTTGTTACATAATTATATCAATGTCAACAATAACTTGAATAGTCATATAAAAATCTAATTGTGGCAGGCAATTAGAAAAATTACATAGACTTCATTATATAATTTTATTTATACTTTTGTCTATAATTATAAATTTCTCAATGTTACTTTAACTAAATTAATAAATAGAGCGAATAATATGTGTAAATGTTTAAATTTAAATTATTATTCAATTTTGGAAATATCGTTTAAATAATTTTTAATTATGTTACTATTTAGTAAAGTGAATATAATTTTATTTATCATATTCGTACAAAACTATTTAATAAAAATATTTTTCACATTTATACTAATTGTAATAAAAACAAACAACAAATAAATAGTAAAAAGATTAATTCGTTCAAAACATTAAAATCACGCTACCCTTGTGAAGAATTGAACGGAAAATACTTGCTTTGTCAGGTCGAGAGTCGCGACGTTCTGGGCAACATTAAAGGCACGTTCGGTTTCGTCGACGCCGACGGCGAGATAAAGAGGGTCTCGTACTCCTCGTCGAACGGGACGGGCTTTAAAGCAACTACCATGTCGCCATTGCAGGAACACGTGTCGGTCGTGCAAAGTATACCACGCATTAATCGTACGTCAACCACGAAAAGACCGAGCATCGTGTACGCCACGTCGACGGAGTCGTCGACCAGGCCGTCAGTGGTACAGTCGATTCCTCGGACGAGGAAGCCGACTACCAGTACTACTACAACGACCACAAGCACCACTAGCACGGAGGCACCAAAGACGATATTTGGGCACTACTTGAAAGGCACGGCGAAGAGCAGACCGCGCTTCGTCATCAATGGCCAACAGAGACCGATCGTCATAGAAGAAGACACCGAAGACGAGGACTCGCAGATCAATCGACCCAGTACGGATGACAAGAGCGGCGCCTATCGAAGGATCATCTTTGCCAAGCGACCGATCGAGCACAGCCTCCCGCCGATCTCCGAGGATTTCGTGGAGAAGGAAGACGACGCCAAGATCACGACGGGGAACAACTTGAGGAGGCAGTTGCACGACGAGACAACCAAATCGAGTTCCGCCATTGTCGACGACGGCGACGATCATTCCGATGTCTACGGCGGTTCCTTGTCCACGACGCGCCCGTTGTTCACCACGTCGTCTCCGTCGCGCGTTCTCCAGAGGATTTCCACTACCTCGCGCACAGAACGACCGAAGTTCTTCGTTAATCGTCAAGAAAACCTGGGAGCGGGCGGTCGATTCGACAGTCCGAAGTACGAGGCGGAGACGAAGTCTCCCCAGGAGGAGCGCACGGCAACCACTCAGCAGATCTTGCTTCGCACTTCTACACCCAGAGTACCGACGGAGACCCGACAGGACTACGTCAGACAGGCCGCCGAGCCTGTCTTCGTGAGACCGCAGTCCGAGCAGTATCTGCGGGAATTGCCGCCTAGGCTACTCGTCCCGTCCCAGCAGGGCAACCTCGAGGAGGACGGAGGCGTCTACCGAGCGATACCGATCGGCAGGATCCTGCTGCGGCCTCCGCCGAATCATCAGCCGGTCTACTCGTCCACGACGGACGCCAACGTTCATTACCTGACGGAGAATCCCGTGCCCGATCCCGAGGACGAGGCGCGGATCGCGATAAACATGAACTACATGCGTCCGCGTCCCGTGCGACCGCTGATCTATCCGGATCCCGAGCAAAGAGGACGGCCGATTCTGCGACCGATTCCCGCGATAGCTCATCCTGAAGACAGGGACTATTCGACCACCACGCCCAGCGACTATCCTTCTTACCGGACCGGCGCACTGCCGCTGCCTCCGGAGCCGCCGAATCCGATCGCGCCGCCTCTGAGCCGACGAGACTTCCAGATGCTGCTGAGGAGGCTGCTGGTGAGCCAATACGGCGTGCAAGCCCTGCAATACCCGAAGAGCTTCCTCGAAGACGCCTTGTACGATCAGCAGCCGTATCCTTCGTACCCGGCGGGCTATCAGGCGCCGCTACCGCGATCCGAACTCGCGTACGACCAGCAGGCGCAGTACGGCGACCGAGTGCCCCTGAGACGTCCGCTGTACCCCCGGGCCCTCAGCCCGCTCTATCATCCCCAGTACGACGATTACCACGACAGATATCCCAAGAGAGTGTACAGGCAGAAATTCTACACGCAGGACGTGGCCGACGAGAACGACGAGGTTCTACCGGCGCCCATCAGGGAAGCCTTGCTGCTGCGAATGGTGAATCTGGCGATTAACACCGAACGTTCGACGATGGTTCCAACGACCATGATGACCACCACGACGCCGGCGTCAAGATACAGGAAGACCGGTCCAATCAGGAGCGTGCAGATCATTACGGACGACGAAGAGGAGGAAAAGGATATGAGAAAGAAGATGTAACGACAACGAGCGGGTTAGAAGTAGTTAGGCATTACGAAGAAATATCGCAAGTATAAAGTACGAATTAAATTATTGTAGAATTTTAACTAATTATTAAGATGTTCTTTTTTTTACAAGACGAGAAATACGTCCATTTTTACCATTACTAATTATCCTGGAACGGTATCGAATTTCTCACGATAGCATATTTAAGCATGACGAAGCGGCTTACGTCAACGATAACCTTTTTTCTTTCATAGTCGAACGAACGGATATGTCCGTCTGCGTGTAAAGACCAATGTCTTACACGCAACGGACGCACTTCGTGTCGTTAATGAATCGAATCGGTTTTGCGAAAGGGAAATCGTTGCTGCGCAGCCCGACCGATTTTCTGCACGATAGCTTCCCAACATCTGTTGACGCGCATATTTACCGTGGCATTAGAGTAGGTGCATCAGTGTGTACGACCGACTGAGAAATATTGTTAGCTAATTAAATTTCTTTTTCTTAAGCGCAGACATTATTTTCTCATACATTTATCTTCCAGGTATCGCATGACATTTTTCTCACGCTGCTGGGATCCGCGTTAAAAAAAACATGTCGTTTAAAAGTAATATGAGGGAAGAATGTTGAAATAACAAAATCACCAGTGAATGATATTCCAGTTGAGGAACAGCTTTAATTTGCAGTTGCATGATAATTATATTATGACGACTAGCATACGATAATTGTTATCCGGCTTGGAAAAATATATTTATATATCCCTTAGAAATCGAAAAATGGACGTTTATTGGTCAATAGTCAATCACTGGTGCATCTGTCCTAAGCGATTATTCGAATGAAATCTCTTTCACGAGAGATACCCTCTCCGTTAACACACGGACAACACACCAGCGAAAGCTCTAGATCCTAAGACATCTCTAGCGTGCCCCCCCTGCTTACGACTGTAAATACGGCGTTACGTAAGAGACATAGTGTGATATATACGCATCGAAATAAAGAAAGAGTCGGACGGTAGACGCCGAGGCGCTGTGTGAGAACTCATTTCATAAGTCCCTGAGAGTCGGCGTTACCGGGAAAGAATAGTAACGCGTCTACTGCCGGTAATTAGCGTCGCTGAGTTGCGACATTCCTTGCCCGGTCGGGTCTCTCTATACGCGGCAGACTTGCGCCGCGCGCGCGCGCGCGCGAATATGCGGGCCGAGGGCGTAGATCATGAGATCTCGCGCGTGATTTCCACGCATTCGGAGAGGCCCCCGCTGCCTGTTTTGTCTTGCGAGCGAATTTCTTTGTCGAAAAAAGCGTTGCGCGCGACACACGGCGCAGACAATCTCACGCGTATATCCCGAACGACACGTGAGAAGCGGAACAATCACTCGCTCGGCGAACGTTCCGATTTGCACAAGTGGCGACGCGACAAAAGGCGAATCAATTGGATGTTAAAAACAATGGGGGACGAGATGTCCACAAATTATTAATTCATCAAACAAGATGAATTAAAATAAATTAATTACTTTAATTCACTTCATCTAACAAGATTAATTAAAGTAATTTGATATTTCAATAGCCATTGTTTTGATTGACTATTGGATGCGCGTAATTTTATTGATTTATCTCAGAAAAGAAAGTTAAACACAAGCTTATTAAACAATTCTCGAAGAGTTTATACAAGGGTATAAACATATATCATTATTCCGTTATTGATATAATAAGCGGAGTGAAACATGCAAATATGTAATCACAATGCTAATATTGACTCAACGGTCTGCTCGAGAATGTCGATCGCGAACGAGTTTCCGAGCGTAAAAAGTAACGTAAAAATATTTCATTCAGCGAACGGCAGGCCATTTTCCGCGGGTGTCTAAAGACCGTTCTGATTTTTCCACGCGTGCCGGATATGCGCGCGTGCATTCGAAAGGCCGCCGCGTCGTTAGGACGCGAGGACACGCACCGGACACGGACAGCGGTCTTGCACACGTCTTCCGGTATTCCGTGTATGCGCTAACTGCAATAGCGTAGGCGCGATGGGATCACCACATCGACGGGAGATACTCGCGAATATTCCGTAAGATCATCTATTTGGAGCGCCCGCCGCATCCGTCGCGCCGGGCTTGATCTGTCTCTCACTCTTCCGGGCGGAGGTAGAAAGTCGTCGCCGAATCGTCGCAGACACGCGGTGTCTCACAGAGACGCGCGCAATGCATAGCATATTTGTATGCAACAAGAAGGTAGGAAATAACGCGAGCGGAGAAAATCGCGACGAGGTGTTTCCGATGAGGCGAAGCCGCCTCAACAATGGTCGAAAGAAAGCGAGTAATCCGAGACAAAAGCGAGACGCTTTACCTGACATTCGTCCCGTCATGTCCCCTCGAGTTTCCTCGGCGCGCGTCGACATTTTTATCAGCTATTCGACTTTCTACGAGTCAAATTATATCAGTCGGCGGATCTATCCGTTATTATTCACGGCATTGTTTCGCAACGATTTTATCTAGAGCGGCTCCCTGTATTTCAAATCGCGTTTCGCGAAATCCAACGACAACGCGTAACAGCAATGTTATTTCCTACAAAAAGCAGATCCTGATAAAAAGTTAGATATTCAATTTTGTAAATACTTCTTGTTGTTGATATTCTTCGAGGACATTTTGTCGTAATCGTATAAATTTTTATTCTAATTCTTAAGCTTTATATACATACATTCAACGTGTTAATCGCGCGTGCATTTGCAATATGTTTACTGTACATCGTTTTTCTTATCTCACTTAATCCGGGGGGGATAGAATATCCTTGGCGCAAGATGAGGCATGAAAATAGCGCAGAGAATTGGCACGAGGGCGTGATCGCGATTTAATTGGAGGCCACCGAGATCTTCGAGTGAATGGACGAGGAGCGGGGCACGTTCTTCAAACTCTCGATGTCGTCGTCAAGCGCGTAGGGCACGAAGGGTTCGGTTTGCACGCCCACATCCTCGTGATCCAGCTCCAGCGTGTCCTGCTCATAGATCACGTCGTTACTGCGCGGCCTCGCCACAGACGGGATCCACGGTTGCGGAACGCCTTTGCCGAGCGCCAGAAAAACCGCAGCGGTCGTCAGCAGGACGACAGACGCAACACCGAATACTAATCGCCAAGAGCCAGCGATCTAAAATGAATGGCACATTGCAACGCGAATTAAAACTTACAATCACAAATACTTTTAAAAAATTGTTCAAAATATTTAATAAATATTAATAAATAAAATTGTTTTAAATTACAAAATAAAAAAAATTTTGTTAGGAATAGTATAGAAATACTACGGACAATTACAATCGTTTTGCACGGAATTTCTAATATGCAATCTCGAAATTCTTAATTTCTTTCTTAATTTTTATTTGAAGAATATAAAAATAAAGTTATATATATATATTTTTTTTTCCACATTAAAGTTAAAAAAATCTTGTATGCAATAAAAGTTAGATAAAAAATTTTAAAAATTAGATTATAAGAATTAAAAATTTTACGTTTTTAATTTACAAAACGCGGAAATAATACGTTAAAAGCAACGTGAGAGACTACTTATGTGAAACGTAGAAAGTAGAAGGACTCATCGCTAAATTCTCGTTACGCAATCCGACATTGTACGTCCGCTTAGCGATCGCGGACGTACGGAGCTATTTAATGTGTTATTACGTTCGCGCGGGCGGATAACGCGCGTGCCCGCGTCCGGCGTAGTAAACTCGGACTTACGGAGCCATGAAGAGCCTGGGTGACGAAGTAATTGGCGGCCAGCAGTCCGGCGGCGCCCAGCGTGGAGCAGAGAGCGCACGCGGCCGCGGCGCACGCCGGCGACTCCGCGGGTGCGAGATCGGCGATGGCCGCGAGCGCACCAGCCGGCGCGGTGCCGGAGACGAGGAGGGCCGCTATCCCGAGCCAGGCGGCACCCAGGGCCTGACAGCCGGCGTAACCGGCGACGAAGAGGAGGGCCGCGGGGATAAAGTGCGCTGTATCGTATTCAATTCGGTATTACTCGAGAGTATACTTAAGTACAAGGAGAATCAGAGAGACATGTCCGAGAAAATAAGTCCCGCGTTATACGTTACGTAGGATAAAGCCTTTAGCTTGTGTTACTCAACACATTCGAGACTTTCCATCTTCAATTATCGTAATGAGATCTCGTAAGCTATTACTCTCGGAGCAAGGTAACAGTATATAACAATCAATTCACCTCGCAGCGTGAAACGAGTAATCGATAATCGCGTACTTTCCTACAGCTGCAACGATACTATTGTATTTCCATAAATGTTCACGTTATACATAATTCAAAACGCTTTCATTGGATATTTGTTAAGAATGGAGAACAAAAACTATTTCCTTTTATATAAATTATACAAACTCGGCAGTCAAGAGATTAAAGCAGCTAGAATTTTTGCACGCATTTCACACAGCGTATTGTGTAGACGTAATACCGTTTACGGAGGATACACATAACGCACCTGTATAGACGACCAACTTTCTCGCCGTGGTCGTGGAAACTATTTTAGATTCGCGGACGTGATCTACCAGAAGACCGCAGGTCAGCGCAGCCATGAAGTGACCGATGTGAGGTAACGTGGTCAGCACTGAGTCCTGAATTGAAATCACAATTTAATTAACGAGGCGAGACCTACGGGCTCGCAGCTGCTCCAGTAATATCGATCGGTCTGTACCCCTAACTAATATTGTACCGTAACATTATATAATACATATAATGACATCTCTTGTTTATAACTCTTTTCTCTTTTGTTTTCATGCATTCTACATATCTTTTTTTCATTCTGACAGTTGATACTTTTTTTTCATTTTAATATTTATGATATATTTTTTAGTGTTAAAAAAATAAAAATAACAACAAATTTCAGCTAACTTACGTTAGCTGTAGAGAATCCATAGATGAGCTTCAGGTATTTCGTCATGCCAAGCGCGAGCGTCGCGTCGCCCCATTGATTGCCCATCGTCGCCACTGCGGACGCCCAGACGGGTACGGATCTCAACAGTTTTCCCCATGGTATCACAGCCGCCTGTGATAATTACTAACCTTATATTTTCATTTAAAAAAAAATGTCTCATAGCCTAGATATATACACGCGGTAGATCTTAAGTCAATGTTACAGTCGCACGACTGGTATGTCGCAGGTACCAATTAGCGAGTGGAAAATTTCTAGAGACTGCATAGAAGCGTTCAACTAGATAGTCTCTTATCTACTTTAGCACATCCGATTACTTGGATAAACTTCCGAGGGTGCTCGCAAAATCGGAAGTGTCGCTTACGGTTGTGTCGTGTTGATAGGACTTCGGCGTGTCCTTAACGAATCGGCCGAAGGCGAAGTACCAGCATAGCGCCAAAAGAACCAGACCGTAACACAAAGAATCGCGTCCGAACGTTCGCACCACCGCGGTGCCCAGCCATCCGGTGAGGCAGTAACCCACGCTGACGGCTTAAAGCATGGGAATTGGGGATTATAGTCGAGCAATTTGGATCACGTAGCGAAACTGAAAGTCGCGCTTGGTGGAATATCTTAAAAGATATATATCCTAGAAATCGTAGAGTATGCTGTCGCAATATGATGGAATATGCAAGTGTGTTTACTACAAAACATACTAATGAATAGCTCGAAGGATTCATTGTTCCCGTTCGCTCTTTGCTTTTCATTTAAACGGCCGTACTCGCAATCGCCGACATACCTGCGTAACAGCTGAAGTACCAGCTTCTGTGATTGCTCTTAAACCAGGTCATAGCGAACATGTGAGCAGCCGGCATGGTTGCGCCCTGCAAAAGGGGATGTCGCAATGATTCTCGCGCGAATGTTTTATGCCGGCGCCGCCGTGTTTTACGGCGCTACGCAAAATCGCGAGCTCGCGTCGCATTGCGAAGCGTCTGATCTGCAGACGCGGCGGCGATAAAGCCGACTTACGGTGCATAATCCTTGAAATAACCGGAGCGCGACGTGCGACGGTCCGCGCCAGGCCGCAGGTACTAATAGAGACGCTAAGCAGGCGCTAAGAACCGCACGTGAGAACACCATGGAGGGCCCGGATCGGCCCCACACCAGGCAACCTCCCAGGATCGGACCGGCCACTTGCCCCCATAAAAACGCCTCGCGCATAATCGATTCGGCTCGCTCCTCCTGCGGCAGCTGTCGTTCATAACACGAATTACAAATGTCATTCTGCAACGTGGCATTGCAAAGCATATAACAGTTCCCCAGTGTTATATGTACATCCACTTCGTGGAACTGCTTGAAAAGACTCGGTAATTCAAATTAATGCAAAACTAATCTGTCACATTTAGCGTCAATTCCGCTTCTGGTTTTGCTTTCGGCGAATTGGCGAATAAATATTTGTTAGACAAATAAAAGTGCGAAGAACGATATTTAGCACTGAAACACAATATAAAATGTATTCAGATGTATATATATACCTCCATGAATATGATTTCAAAGTCCTCGGTGCGATTGCGACTGGTGATATTGACCAGCATATCGCAGTGCCACGATGTGTCAATGATGGCATGATTGTCTTTCTGATTCGCCAGCAGTGCGACGGAGGAGCTGACTTCAACCGCGCCGCAAAGCGCAAATCCAACTGCGACCAGCGCGGCGACGATGTGTCGCGCTCGTACAGCCGCTAATAAATAACAGTATAAGTACGTACTACGTGATAATATCGTAACAATCGTAATAATTGCGCGATTAATTTGATTGAATTTTTGCAATATAAATTGCTAAAAACTTGCAACAATATAATTATATATTAAATAAAAATCACCAAATAAAAATCATTAAAGATCATTTAATAAAGTCGTTGATAAAAATCTCTAGACATCAATATTTCAAATACATTTAAAGGAATTACGGTTCTAGACATGAATATTTCAAATACATTTAAATGAATATTTCAGTAATGTCAAATTGTTAGTAAAAATCAGTCAAAGAATCAAATAATTTATTTACTATCGAGAATTATTTGACAGAAAAAATTATTAAACAAAACGGTAGGTATGCATTATCAATTGTATTGGAAACTCGAGCAGATTTTACAGAATATCTATTATTCTCGGCAAATTATAAGTACAATAGTAACAAAAAAATTTTCATGTACGTATGTACATACATTCATTATCGTAGTCTCCAAACGACGGAGCACGGAGCAATGTTTGATTTTGATAACTTACTCAAACGGCTGGCACGATAGTATCTGCGTATACGAATTCTAAATTTAAAAGGCACTTGTGTCGACTGATTTTTAACGTATAAAAATAATATTTGTAAAATATAACGTTACAAAATAAATGCGTCATTAATCATACATAATATTTCGATAATATACTAGAGAGAGAATATATAGATTTTTATATAACTAATACATCGCAGTCAAAATATTTAATTATAAAACGCAAAAGTATTCTTTCAAAAGAATTCTTCCTTTTTCAATATGTCAAAAGAAATAATTAATTATAATACACTAAATTAAATAGTATAAATCTATAGTACGGACAAAGTTACTTTTAAAATTTGGCCGCGCGACAGCGTGAAACAAAATTAGAAACTCACCCGCGCGATGTGAAAAATAAAATTAGTTACATAGTGATTAGAAATTCATCGACGAACCTCGAACCTCTTGTGCAGCGAGCTTTAGTTGACAACTGCCACGTTTAACGAACTGCACGCTACCTCTCTTGACGAAGTCTGCCATCTCACAGAAGCCAAAAATAATGAGATCGACCGCGACATCTCGCTCTTATCACACGCCCGGTGTTTGATTCTTCGCGCACTATCTCTCCACTACTCCGAGTATATTACAGGTGACCTCGACTTTGGCTCGGCAATGATGCAACGCAAATAGCTGACTTTTCGACAAGACAATGAACGCGTAACGCTATGCCTTCACTAAATATAAACTCAAGAAATAGTGATTTCAATGATTCTACTGCTCCTAACACTAGTTCGTCTCGCGCGATTTACAGTTAAATATGCAATCAAAGGCCAATAATAAGTGTGGAGGATGCTAACACCAAATTTATAATTTCCGAATGTAACCGTAATCCTAAATTTCTAATATAAAAAAAAGTGCTAAATTAATCGAAAAATCTGACCAAAGTCGTTGTTTCACAATAAACTGTATGGATAATTAATAAGTTGTTCATTTCCTTTAACCCGACGGACGTGAAGCGTCGCAAATCGTTGATTAATAATCTCCGTAATCGTAGCGCAGTAACGCGCTGAGAATTCCGGAAACCCATTGTCAGGGGAAGTCGATTGAGGGCATACCGTACCTTTGACCTCGAGTGCCGCGTGTCTCAGCTGGACGCTACCGCGTTTAAGACGAACGAGCGCCGCCATCGTCGTCAAACGAGCTGACACACCGATTGCGTTTCCATGATGTGGAACTGATACCTCAGGCACATATCATCGAACCGAGTCCGTTGATCTTTCCGGCCACTTTTCCACCGCGCGATACGAGATTGGCGAGACGCGGCAGCGGCGGTGAGTTACGCGAGCCATACTGGTCATCTGGCCGGTACGAGTGAATGAACATCTCCGTTAACGAGTCTTGATACAATAAGTACCTTACGCCGGGTCAGCCTTGAAGCACCGCGCGCGAGGCCCGCCTCGTAATATTTTCCCCACGTCGGAGTCGCCGAGCGATATATCGAACCTCGTCGCCGATAAAGATCTTCAAACGCAACTGCTGGTTTTTTCCTAGTCTTATCATAATGATCACGGCGCGTAGCCATAAATATTATTGAGTGTAATTAATACAGCATTATCATGCACGAATGCTATTGCGTTTAACTGAAGCGGAAAGCTCTAGTTCTGTGTTATATCGTTGTGTTGATAACTTTAAAAAAATATTAATGTGTGTGTTTTCACATCTCAATCCTTATCTGCCAATAAATAAAATAATATTCCACAATTTTAATACACAAAAATTTATTTTTTCAAGAGTAATTGATAAGAAAAAAAAATAGTTTTAAATTGTCTCGATTAGGTAAACACAAAATATATGTATCTTTCCTATTTTTAAAACATGAGAATTCAAGTTGCTTATCTATTCGTGCACATCACATGCACAGTTATTAATGTCATAAATTATTAATGGGAGAGTTTCTATCAACAACTGGCAATGAAGGAAACCTCGTTAATAATTAAATTCAGCCACGAATATTTCGCCTTTGTAAATCTGAGACATATACTGTTCAATGATAATGTTCAGAATGTTGAATAATCCACCATCTGTTGTTCATCTGGATGTAGTTCTATATTACCAGCGACCAATCAGCATAGACTGACTGTCGTTTAAGCAACAGTCAGCCTCGAGGCACCAGTCCAGTCCCAGTCTTGTTCCAACTCCCAGTCGGTTACGCAGCAGATGGCTGGGATCTTTTAGGTAAAGATTCGCGCTTTTTATTCGCGCGTTAATAATAAGATCGTAAGCACAATAGAAGAAATATTAAGAACAGGAAAAAAAAATAAAAGAATTTCAACCTGTCAGAAATCATGTATTCCACAGTATACAATAGGTCGAAATTTTTATATTTATTCCTATTTCTAATATTTCTTCCATTGTACTCATAGTCTAATGTTTATTAGAACGTTGAATGCCCCAGCGTTTATGAACATGGTCCTACGTTACCAACAACCAATTAGAAGTTGGCAGGCTATTGTTCAAACGAACTTGGAGCCGGTTATCTTGTACCAGGTCCCAGCAGGTCGCGCGGCAGGTGGTTTGGTCCCTTCTCCTGCGCCTGCCACCAGCAGGGACCAGGGACTGCTGGGACAGCGGGATACCACCTGCGCGATGATTGGTCAGTTTGCAGGCAGGTCAAAACGGCAACGCATCGCTCGGTCGGCGTTTGCCACACTTATCTGCCGCTTCGTAGCGGAGCGCGCGGTCCCCGCGGCCTCGCATTTTTCGTGTCTTATCCGCGGCGATCGGTACGCACATGTGTGAGAGAGATTGTTCATCACAACGACGCGGTGTGTAATTTCGAAAAATAGTAATACACAAACGTACGTGATAACTCGAATAAGTTCGAGTTAGAATCTATGTTGCGAATTCCGGAGTTGCGCCTGCACCGAGGATCGTTTTTCAAACGGACGCAGAACGATGCAGCGCGCAGGGCGCCCGGGTGTTTTGACATTTGCGACGTATAGTTATATTTTATTACAGTGATATCGACGACAGTGTCTTGGGATACCCGCGAACGACAGTGGCCGTGACGGTGAATGACGAGGGTGGCATCATCGGAGCGCAGCGCGGCACAAACGAGCTACGAGGTGAGTGGACTCCGTTTTGGTTGAGTTTTGACCGTTTGCTTTGAGAGGTTAAGTTGGGTGCCCTGCTGGGGTCCCGCGATACCACCTCCCCCAATCCCTTCCCGCCTCCTCTCCCGACCCCTCCGTGCCGCGCTAGCCGCGAATGGTCCGACGCGGACAATACGGCCCTCCGGAGAGACCAGCGAGAAGGGTCCATTCCGACCAAAAGGTCCTTTGAATGGAATGCGTGCCGGCGCATCTCCTTCATCCCCGCTCCTTCTTCTACTCATCCGGATCCTTCCTTCATCTCTCGTTCCCATCCATTTCACTCTCACCGTCGCTCTATGGTTCTCTTCTGAATTTTCGACTTCTCTTATTTATTTTCTCCGAGCTCGTTTTAGTGCTGACACACGCTAAAACTTACGTCAATTTCTGTAACGAACGCCTGCTCCTTTGTTTCGCTAACATTCCCCTGCGTATCGCGAAAATTGTTCTCACTATCTGCATTACAATTAGAATTTCTCTCATCATTACCGTCTTCGCTATCGCTGCAATTTCCCTCATTGCACTCGCCTTGAAAATTATTACGCAGTCGATATTTATTATCTATTTTCGCTTTATCTTGGTTCACCTTCCACTTATCACGAAAAATTATTGCGATATGAGTAAAGTAATTATGACGTTTATATTGCGCCAATATATCTTATTGATAGATCGTTAAAGAACTGGTATATCGAATCATAATAAAACTTCCTTCCCTTTTTCCGATCCCGGTTTCTGTCCTTTTTCTCTTCCCTCCTTCCTCGACCTTTCCTGTGGAATGTGCTTCTCGAGAGTCCAGGCATATTTCTGATCGTAGGATCACTCGCAACAGGTCCCTGGCTAGAGTTTCGAGCTCCCGTTTCTGTCCCCCCTAGAGCTCGACACGAACGGTTTCATGCCGCGTGTCAAGCTGGTTTTCGACTTTTAAAAATCAACAGTCCCGATTTAAAAAAATCAGACAAGTTTGTTCACCACGTCGAGCTAATTAATACAATTCCGGGAGATTTACGAGCTTCCTTTATTGGTTCTTGCACTGGTTTATGCCAGAACTGTAAGTACTGTTATATCTTGCTTATGTGAACGTGCTCGTATGATAATTCTTGAAACTTGCCATTCATCGAAATAAGTTTAACTGTATCAAGTCATCTTTCTATCTTCGAATAACGTTCGAATAACTCGTTGAGAGAAGAAAACAGAATAAAATCAACGTGACGAAAGATACTGTCCAAGACGCGATAGCATCGCTGAAATTCATTTCTCACATCAGTGTTACGTTTTTATTATGTTAATCTAACATCGACACATTCAAGATGTGCTGTTAATTAATGCCTATAAACGTCAACTATAATTCTAAGTTACTATTCTTTATTTTTATCCACATATATTTTGTAATAATTACTTCTCTCGTCTCTCCTTTAATTTTTACACACAACCCTCTCCCCCAATATCATAATAATCCGCAATATAAATCTAAATTTAAATATTGAAATTTCATATTATTATGACAGAATATATTCCCCATTTTTATCCGTTCTCGTCCTTATTTACTCGTGTCAGAATGCACAGCGAATGAAAAAATTATATAAAATATAAAATTAGAAATTTGCTAAATATAGCATTACATAAAATGTATAAAATATTTGCAATTTTGCGTGATATTCTATCGCAATATAGTCCACGAAGATTTGCTTAAATTTAATTACATTGCACGAATGCTTAGAATCCATTCCACAAATGTAAGATTAACTTTAATCTCGATTTAATTTACTATTTATTTCTTTCTAATTCTTAGATTAAAAAAAAAATAAAGCAAGTTGAACTTCGGTTAAATCGAGTTAACCGCGATTTGTGAAACCGGAATTGTCACGACGGATCCGGGCGAGAAGTAACCGGAGCAGTTTCGGCCCTCGAACACCTTACGCATGTACGTGCCATTGTCACATACGTGCTTTGAAAATCACGCACAAATACCGTTGCACTTAAGGTCGTTCACTTACCTACCTACCGAATGCGATCCAACAGGAGTAGCTACCGGTGTTTTGTGCGGGACACGAATTACGGAAGAAAATGAGTGTGTGTCTTTCCGGCGCGTGTCGTATCGCGTACGCTCCTCTAGCTCGCCGGATGACGACGATTTCAGTCAGATCTCGCATACAACGTTTTCGAGAAGCTAAAGTATCGAACGTAGTTCTAAGAGTCTGACACAATTTTGCGATAATCTTTACATGGTATCTTGATTTGATTGTGTTAACCGTCACGTTTTGAGCGCGTACGTGCTTCAATAAGATACCGTTGCCACCAGTTGTCCGATGTTAAACGTAAACGTTTAGAAAATCATGTTATTACGTCTGGCATGAGCCATGTTTCCTTTATAAAAAAAAGAGTTATGACCCAAATACTACTTTCAACAATACTTGGTTTTTGCTGCCTGAAATGATAGTACCATTTCTAACAAAAGAAGAAATCGATTTTATTCTGTCCTAGTTTGCTAAGAAATAAAATAAAGTAATAAAACAGTTTCAGAAACAATATAATTATGTTTCTATTTATAGCAACATTAATACTGATGATTCGAATGTTGAAGTTTTTCCGTATTTATTCACAGATAATTGAAAATTACGCGTATACAAAAACTACGAGCAATTCATTACATAATTGTAGAATTATATAATTATAGCATTACATCCTGGACAATATCGCGGAAATTTAATGAAGAGATCGCCATTCTGTTCGCGTTGGAATTACGCGTTGTTGCACAGCAAATTACATAATCCCGACGTGTGAACGGTTTAAAGAACAAGTATTTTGCAGCTGTCGCTCTCTGAATACGTGTTTATCGGTTACGTACGAAAATGTCAGAAGACGCGACCTTGCGCGTGCACAGACCCCGCTCATGTCGCGTAAATTAATTCCGCATAGTTTTAAAGTTCCGCCGGCGCGCAAGCGAAGTGAAACGCGCGCTCTGCACGTGCATTAGCATTATTCGCAGGTGTAAATCGCGTCACACCCCAAATCGCTCGCACGTGATGCCACGCGCGAGATCCAATTAACCACAGCTGGCGATTGTAACCAATGCAACTAATAATCTTCATTAGGAGATCCATTACGAGGCGGGACGTGCGCGAAGAAAAAAGACACGGCACGGCGCAAAAGTGAAACTAGATTTTCTCCGATGCCTATTCAATTCGCGGCGCGCGCTTTACGCTTCATTTGCTTGTCTCTCCTAATTGCTCCGAAATTCCGCTACCCGCCAATCGCCGCGAAGCTCTTGAAAACACGGCGGAGAGGAGATTAAGGATTCCGGACTACTTTCTTCTCGCCGAAACTGAGAAAGTAGGGTCACGATGTCGGTGTCCCTCGAGGCGTTTATTATGCGTAATTGTGTTTTGAGGAAATCGCGCGGCTTTTGCAACGCGATACGTTATTAGGAGTACACTCGCAGCACGTGTACATTATTTTCAAGAGGAGCGCACTTTCTCACACGTCGGCATTTCAATTAAATAAAATTTCTTTATTTATGAAACGTCAGAGATTTAGGTCGAGATAAATTTCTTTTTTTTTTTGCTCTCTTCTAAAAAATTAGTCTTTCGAAAACAATCGATTGTATGAGTATTATAAGTTAAAATCCAAATTTTTGGGATCTGTATAACGTATTTTGTGTACCGTTATATTTAAACAGTAAGTAGTAAGATAGCAAATTTTTGATATCACGGGAATGACGAGAGTTATCGTGGATCATTACCCTAGAGGCAGCTGTAACGTATACATCATATCTAAGTTATGCGATTAATAAGAACCCGACTCCGTCTGCAGTCTGTATCTTTCTCAACCGCTCGCGCCAGTAGTTCTCCGGAAGTAGATCGAGATATCTGCGCGCCGTGCTATCGTCCGCATTATAATTCCCGCGATGCGAGAGAGGAGAAGATAAAAAAGCGTGTAGCGCCAAATCAGGGCGCGCGCGGAAAGTCGTTACGAGAAATCGACGGCTACCGTAACGAGGCCATTGCCGGTGTATTTTCTCAATTACATAGACATAGGAAATTGCCCCGTGCGTCCGCGACCGCTCCTCTCGGCATCATCGTGTCCGCGCGAGGAAATGTCGCGTCGTTACGGCACGTAAAAAGACACTTTTTTGTGGCGCACTTTGTAGAACGATACCAGGCGAAGTGATTTAACAGACAACCACAATTCCGTATACGCAATTCTTGCGTTCTCGCGAATTCAATTACTTACATTTGCGCGCAGCTGATGCGGACGTATAAATTGTGCTACGTGCTTCGTCGCGTCGCAAAAATCTCGTTCTAATGAGACCGATCGCAATGATTAATTATAAATACCCGAGTGCGATTGCAATGTGTTACGCGGACTCCTTTTCGAATCACGTCATTCCGTCTGCGACACGATGTTCGAATATTAAGGAATCTATCGAGTTCCGCGCGAACATGCTGTTCCTACCGGTATACCTACAACTTCGATCATCGACCTGCATATCTCGACATATCAGATTAAAACGCGCGTGATCTTTCATCACGTAAATGAAAATTGAGTCTGGAATTAAGGCGCTCATACTTCGTTGCGCAATTGAATTACACGGAAAAAAAAGAAACAGTTAAGCCCGGTTAAGCCTCGATCTAGCATTCCGGAAGAATTTTATTTAACGTAGCAGTTTTACTTTACGTTACAGTTTTATTTAACGAAACAGATATTTCGATTCGTACTTTATTTCGTTACTCTATTTTCCGCGCGTGTATCTTAGAATAAAATATTTAAAGGCATTTAAATTCCATATTTAGAATTCCTTTTCTGCGCTGCCGTATCTACGTATCATATACTCGCACATCGATGTGGACGTGGAACAAGTTTCACATATATAAATACGTTGCTCTTATTACGCTGAATAATTTAATGACGTAATGCGGTCTCGCGTATTTCCGAGCAAAATCATTTTCTGCATTAGAATGCAGAAACATTCAAACGTAAATGAGCAATCGAAAGTAAACATGTATATTGTTCTTCGCAAGATGTTAACAAGATGCTAAACAAAACGTCTCTATTTTAAAATGTTCGCGTTTCACCGACGTTACGCAAGTACTTGCAAATTAATTTTGTTATTGAAGTGCTACAATCAGTTTGCGTAAACTGCCATTTTGTTATTTGAATGAGAGATTCAGAGATAATTTTGTTATTCGAATTGCGAAGGACAAAGAAGATTGACGTTACGGTAAGCCCCAGTAAGCCCGGTATTATTGTTATTCGCACTTCGACAGTGTACTGTTAGTATTCCTCAGCGCGCACAGTCACAGATGTCATCGCTTTCAAATGCAATTGATACCGCGCACATTTAGCGAATGTAAATCGCGTCGATTTACGTAGTCAATTGACGAGGCTTTTCAAAGTAACAAAAAGCATCAATACCGGGTACTTCAACATGCGTGCAAATGTAAACCGACAATCTAACGGCATCATTACATGGTTAATGTGGCAGGAAAATGAAAACAACAATCATTCGAAATAATACAATTTTATTGCTTTGAATTGCTCATTTACCTTAATTACCTCTGTAAAGTATCTAACTATATATTTCGCCGTTAAAATTAAATTATTTTGAGAACATAACGATTTGGTGTCACTTTTACAGAGTTCCGATATAATGGCTGTTAATAGTATTAACATTGACTCCAGTCTATAAAATAAAATCAAAGTCAATTTATGTTAAAGAGAATCAGGACGTGTAAAAAGTTGTTTCATTTAATTTATGTCGCATTTATATAATAAGAAATTAAAATTTCAAAATGACATCGGTAATAATACGAACGCATACATGTTCAAAAAAAAAATGTAAATTGGAACACAAGTACCATTTAGGCTTTCAACAACTTTTTATGAGTCACAATAATAATGAATAAATTTTGTTTTATTTACATTTGCGTTAATTGCATGAAACGAAACAGTTAATTTACCTACATAATGTATCCGTTAACAAATCATTTCAATAATTTTAATGACAATTAAAAAATGAAAATTGCTTCAGCCAAGTACGAAGAGAAGTAACGCGATGCAAACACTGTTATTAATTTAAACATTATGAAAAACATTTTTTTTTTTCATAATGTGTTTTCTCAATTTTCTCAATTAATTAACCACGACATAAACAATTCAGAAAATAAATGTGCGATTGCACTTATTAAAATTAATTAACTTAGCTCTCAACTGCAATAAAAAGAAGCAACGCGTGATATTTGTTATTAGCTGCTCGTAGATTTATTATCTAATAAGCGAAATGCAGTTAGCGTCTTGTTAAGAAGCTTAAAACGTGTCGCGGCCTCACTCGATCTTCCTGGAAATTACGTTTGCAAAACATCTCCTACGCATGTCATTCAGCGATTACTTGACGACATCTATCATCTTTACGTAATGCGACAAACGCATTTCATTATTGCGGCACGCGCTTACATATTAATATTTAATTTTATATATCCTTCAGCATACACGATGCGGACGAATCGCGCCTTTTAACGTGCGTATTCGATTTTTCCGCCGGGCAAGCGTTTCCAATACGGCACTGTACATCACGATTTCTCTGACTTCTCACGGTCACTCGCTAGAGTTTCTCCTCATAGAACCTCTTTTCGCAAGGTCAAAGGACATTGATACCTTATTTAGTGACCCTATTCGAGATTCACTGAAATATATCTGTCCTAGATTCGAAATATCCTTAGGCAGCGAAAACTCATTTTCAACTGACACCGTAATTATCATCTCGATAAATCGCTGAATTCATAAAATAAACAAATATACAAATATTGTAATTTATTATAGCAGCAAGACGCAATTGGAAAATTAAATAAGCTATGCCAAATACATGTATATTTTATATAGACTTAGAAAAATAAAATCTTAACATAAAAATATTAGTAATATTTAATCGAGAAAGATTTAATCCTATCTAATTAAAAGTAGTAATTACATTGTTTTATATTAAAACTACAATTACAAGTCATAGCCTTATCTCATCCTACTCAAGTTGTGAACTAAATAAATCGCAATGCAACCGACAAAAAACGTGAAAGAATCTAAAACGTCTTCATACCACATCTATCATCATCGTCCTTAATAAAGCCGCGAAACTAATTGAACAGATTTATTCTAATAACAGTTGCAGTTCACTACCTCTGCTTTCTCAGCATGTTCCTAAGCCCTTCTTCGATGTCCCGCTGTTAATGCGCGCGTAACTTTTTTCCGTGCGATCTAATACTTCCAATTTCACCGTGACGGTGCACGTCAGTCACGGCCACGCGGCGGTTTCCCCGCAGGAAGCCTCGTCCTCCAAGGTCAGGGGACAAAACTCTTCCGCAGTGACCCGGTCTAAGTCACCGATGTCTGCCTTGGGCTTAAATGGCAGCTCCGACACGGGGATCCCTTCCCTGCGGACCCTGCGATCCCTCTCCTCTTCCTCGAACTCCGAGAAATCGTCGTCGCCGCCGCCGTCGCCGCCGGTCCTCGCGGCGGCGAAATCGACGTCCGTCCGGACGTGCGTGTTCACTCTTCGATTCCTCGGCTTTGCCCGCGATATCTCCCTCGAGACCTCCTTCGAGGCACGCGATAATCCCCTCTTGTCGAGGCGACGTCGCGGTTTCTCGGCGCGACGCGGGGACGACGCGGCGGACGGACGTACGCTGCTCCCCTCGATCGCGTCCTCCTCGCGGTCGCCGTCCTGATTGATGGCACCCGGTCGCCGTTCTTTATCGCGCGTGTCGTTGTCGCTCGGTTTCCTACTTTCCTCCTGCGCCAATCGGGCCGCGTTCGCCGGGAATGCATTTTTATCGATGGTACCGGCGCCTACGGCGGCCGTGAATTCGCTGGTGCCACCTGCCACCGCTTCCTCCGGCTTCTCGCTCGGAACCTGCACTTCTGCACGCGGAGGACAGGCGTCTGCGATGTCGGCCGGGCACGCCGCCGTCGCCGCGTTGGAACCGTAGGTCTCCGCATCGGTGCAGCCGTGGCTCACAAGACCTGGCTCGGCTGGCAACGCGCACGGAACCGGCCCCTTATCGACAGCCCCGGCGCTCTCGACGTCGGCTTTGATCCGCGGATGCTTGCGGTACTCCTCCTGCAAGTAAGCGCGAAACTGGTCCTGGAAGTAACCGTCGATTATCTGCCAAACGATGGCGCTATACCAGCTCACCACGCTGAAGACAAATATCCCGCGAACAATAAACGTCAACATTGCCTTGTGGTTGCGGTGTGTTGGTTATTATGATGCGATATTGCAACACATTCTATATATAGTGTTGCAGTGAAAATATATCTTAAATGTATAACCGTATAACTATGCCGACTAATACCGTCAGATACACTGATATAAGACTGATCGTTTCGTGAGAACTGAGAGCTAACGCTTATAAATATTTTGACGAATTTCTCGGACGCAAGTCAAAGTACAGAACATAAATAAAGCAGTATTACATTACCTACTATTGATGAAAGCTACATATATTAAAGATGAACTTGATACAAAATTTTACATTCTGATTTGCAATTTTTATAATTTACTCGGCTCATATAAACATTTTAATATTTATTCATTTTAATTTTTAACGAACTCTAAAATTTATTCATGTCAAAATATTTTTGAAATATTTATATTCTATTAAATTGTTATAATTATTTGCACTTTCTAGTATATTATAAAGTATTATACATTTTTAATTTCTTGTTGTCAAATAGGTAATTATAAAAGCCTTTTATATTTACGCCAATCAAGAAATTTATGATTTATTTGCGTTATAAATAAAAATATTTTAAAAAATTGTTAGCCAAGATTATGAGCGCTGATGTAAATTATTGTCAAAATTGTCTTAACACTAACTGAGAATTAAAATGGTACGATTCAATAACTAATTCGTTAGTTCTGTTAACAGTTATACGACCTATGGGGTCTTGGAAGTTTATTCCTCCAAGATGAGGAACTTCCAGCAAGAAAAATATAGGGAAGAGTTTTATCTTATACAAATATCACGATCCACATGATCTAACTTTCAAACGCTGCGTGAAAAAGTAGTTCTGTCACAGTTCTATTTGCCCATTTTGTGACATTCGCAAGAATATTAAATCTTCTGAAAGACGACAATTATCTTCTTAAGTGTCTCTATTTCTCACTGATATTAAAACACGCTTACTACCAAACTGAATTCAATATTTTTCTGTCACTTGTATAATTAATAAACGATAGTTGTTACATAATCAATAATATAATTCTTATAAAATATTAATATCAATCTGCTATCTGTTATCAATTTCAATGCTTATCTGTTTTGATCCTAACACCGAATTTAAGACAGATATTGATATTACTTGAGATTATAACGATATGAAAGATAAAGCTGTTAACAGATGTATATAATAATTGTAATAATTGTGAATAATATTGTCATGCTTATTTAAAACATTAAAACTGATTAAATTTATGACAAAGTTATTCCTAAACTATCTTCTCGATTGAGATCGGTTAATCCTCTCCTCCCACGAGATAGTCTTTGATGATGTAAAAGGATTCTTTCATGTTCGGCCAAGCCATAGTCACGAAGACCAAAATCGAATTTGCGATCACGAAGAGTCGCATCATTTCGATACCGGTGCCGGATCGGAGCCAATTTCCGAAGCCTTGATTCTCGTCATCGCTCAGACCTCCCGAATCCGACTTTTCCACCGCGTTGCCTTCATTATGACCACCCTTGCTACCTTTATTTTCGTTATTTCCACGTTTCTTCATGCTGATCATATAGCGATCATCTGCAAGCATTGATTTCAATGCTGGACAAGGTTTAAGAGGTACATTTTGCGTGTGCTTGAAAATATCCAATTTATATAATATAGGCACCAAGACTGTCTACATTATTGCTTTCTATCAAAAATAAACGAATAAAACGAAGGAAAGAAATCACATTCGTAAAAATTCATGAACTCTATATGGAATGCAACGAACAATGTTTGGACTTACAAAAGAGTCAAGGAGGAATGTCAAGGATTGTCATTTATAGGTATCGATAGCCATACGTTTAGAATTTTAATTCTGTCCATTCCAAATCAAAAGAGGATTGATTACCGTGCTTTTTTTCTTCTGCTGTTTACGAAATCACGTAATCTCGATTATCAACTAATAAATCGCGTTGCAAATTCAAAGAAAATTAAATCTTTAGAAAATCTCGCTTATACGTGACGATTTACGATAATCGGCGAACCTCGGGAGAAGGTGCAGTGAAATTAAGAGCGTCCGCGTACAATTTCTGTCCCGGATACGCGTGTGCGTGAGCACAGTTACATGTGGCATTCCTGCGCGTACAAGAGACGAGCATACTTGAGAGTGGGTGTGATGACCGCGATCAACGCATCGAATTTATGTACGCATTTCAACCGTGTTGCATACGAAATTGAAATTACAGTAAAATATTCCCGATTCCTCGCACGTTGTCTTGAGAGAAATTGTTACACAAGAGAATTTAAGAATTACTGTTAATAACTATGTTAAGTATAACAGTTATAATTATTAACATTAAGTATAATAATTACTATTAATGTTATTTGAATGCAATCACGTAATTCACGTTGAAACAAAGTCCATTTAGAAATTCCTTTTTTTGTTTGTTTTTAGAAATTAAAAATGCTCACACATAAAACTAGCAAAAATTTCTTTTTCCAAATGTCAATTTTTCAATTTTTACTTTAAAATCAAATGATATGTAGTTAAACTATACGTTATAAGCGTTTATATTACAGCTGTAATTCCGGGACTTTTATTACAAGGTGGATCAAAAGAACTGGAAATTTGCAACTCGCGTAATATTTGCTCGCATCAATTCGTGTACGCAACTCAAAGCTAATTTGCTCGATGGTATTAAGTAGCTTTAATAACTTCCCTTTTTCATTTCGCGATTTGCGCAGCTACAAAGACGAATATGGATCTTGGTAGATCAAAGTTCACGGTATTATACCGAGTAAATTCCAAGGAGGAATAGTGGAATCGTTATCGACAAAGAACAGCCTTCGCCGGAGTAGATCGTTCTCTCTACAATGCTCCATTTCTCTCTCTCTCTCTCTCTCTCTCTCTCTCTCTCTCTCTCTCTTCCCTTCTCCCCGTCATCCCCTATCGCGAGATTGTTGCCCCGTCTTTCCGGTGACTGACTAGTTATCAAAATTTTGCTCCATTGTTCACACTTCAACGATGAATAATAGGGATACGATGGGATCACGAAGGAGACCATTGATGAAGACAGATGGGCGGCAGAAGATTTCAAGTTGGTTACAAAGGTCAACGATTGATATACCGTAATTGAATTTGATGGAGAACATTCTGCGTCCTATCGCCGTCTTTGTGATTGGTAGAGGGTGTATCGATGAAAACAAAACAAATCGATAAATGACTAATTTGTTTCACAAACACCTCGACACCGAGCGCTTCGTTATGAAAGATAAATGGCTGACAAAAATTACTTGTTATATGAATTACGAAATAATACGAAATCAATAAAAACTATTGTGTTAGGAATAATGTATCAGGATAGCGTAAAAAAAAAAATCTATTTTACCTAATGATTTATTATAATCAAAATGATATACAGTTAGTTATATACACTTAGTTATCATAATAGAATAATAATTGTGTGTATGTGTGTGTGTGTGTGTGTGTGTGTGTGTGTGTGTGTGTGTGTATGACAGCAAAAAAATGAGGCAGAAGAGTATTGAGAACATAGCGAACGAAAATCAATCTAGGTCCATCAAACGTCGGCCGTTGCATAATTGCTCGTCCTATAATTAAACGGGTTCAGTATGTTACGTCACGAACGGAAAGTTGGTCACTACGAGGTAACAGTACAACGTTGTCCCCGATGCTCTACTTCGGAAGTCGCCCGTCGAACGCTTAGTTAGAAAAGTTGGCTCGGTCGTTTATTCCTATTCGTGCACGTCGCGCGCCGGCCGGCTTTGTCCGTTATCGAAAACGATGCGCTGCACGTAAATGAGAACTGGTAGCTTGATAACACGTCATCGGTATCGACAAGAAACGAAATAAAACTCCTCTCTCGGAATCCCCACAGGGGGTCTAAATTCGCGTTCTCGGAATCAATTACCAGCGGGGCAATCGTACGCAATAAAGTGGCATGAAACGCGGCTGCGCGCAACGAAACGTGCAGATTCGCGAAACGACGACAGTGCTTGCGGTCAGCGAACGAGGAAATTACAACGACGACGCAGTTATCGGCAAAGGACAGCCCCGGGCTGTGCGCGATCATTTCTATGGAAAGTGATATGTCCGGCGAGCCCTCGTTCTCGCCGTGCATCCCTCCGCCGTAAGTCGAACCGCACCATTGTATAACGCGCGGAAGTTTAATCTCTCCCCCGTCGCTCTCTCACGCACCACAAGCCGTAGTTAGTAAATTTCAACTATCATCGTTGGACGTGATAGTCATACACCGTTATTACATGTCGTCCCACCAATGTTGCCAAATATTTGACCAGTTATAATTAAAGAGACGAGGGTTCAGGAAAGGAGAGGATTCTATTCGACTTCTCTTTGTTGACTTCAAAGTAAAATTTTTAAGATGTAACCCACAATATAGTGAAATATAATGGGAAAAAAATTATAATTTATTTCCAAACGAAATATATAATAAATCAAAATTTGGGAAAAGAATAAAATATGTATTTCTTTTTTAGTGCCTTCAATTGCGATGACAAAACTCACCATGATACCCGTCGATCTTTCTCAACAATCGTAAACGTGCGTTCGAATTTAAAGCAGCCTGCGTTTCCTTTTTTTACGATTTTTTATGGAGCGTGAAATCCCGGCGACGTGACGCACACAACAACTGCCATCGACGGTTTGCCCGCTTTTCGCGTTTACTTTGCCGCGGGACGTGCCGATATAAGGCTTCTAGGCTTGGTAAGCTCATTAAAAGATTTCGCGGCAGTGCCGAGGGTTCACCAAAGATCGCACGGCGCGTGACAGCGTTCCTAAGTATCTAGCAAATTCAATACTGCGCAACCTCTTTACAACCTCTTGCATTATATTCTTATGTGCAATGTCGTGCAATCTCAAAGTAAACTAACCATACATTACATTTCGTTATATATACATATTTAACACACATAAAAAATAATAAGTATGATTTAGTTACTGAATATTACGTTTGATATTCAGTTAAATCTTATGACTTTAATTAAAATATAATCCAGAATCTACATATAAATAAATTTCCTATCTATGTATTTTTATTTTAGTTAATCTTAATGTGACAATTTAAATGTCAGATATTTTGAATAAATGTTGCGATAAAGGAGAGGAGTTGCAACAAGGTGAGACATTTACTATTTAAATTTGCAAATGTAGAAGTGCAGTGAAAAACAAATATTATAGATTTTATATCCTTTTAATCCATCCGATTTTTTTTCTATATCAATTGAATTTATCATATTTCGATTTTTATACGATACAATTTTTTCCCCGCTCATCGCCTCTACGTTTATATGGCAATAGCAGAATCCCGAGCTTAAACGATTATGTTACGATCAAATACACAATCTGGTAATTACTATCCATGAACGGCTTAATAAATCACCGATACATGAGGTGAAATCCGACGTTGTCATCTTCCAATCGATTAGATCACACGCAACATTTCCCATGTAGTGCTCCATGAAGAAGCTCGATTAATCACGCGGGCTGTCTAAAATTTTGAATAGAAAAGATACGTGGTTTCTACTTATCCTATGCCACTCAGACAACATGTATAAATAGCGCGACGTCGATGTACAAATGCGAACAAATGCTCGCGTCGCCGATCAAATACACTTTCTTCTCATGATACTGTGTCGCCAGATATCGGCGCAAATGTAATTTCCTGTCGAAGAAATATCGAAAAGAGATTTGTCGCAAGATATATCGCGGAAACAAACGCCTACGCTTATGCAAAAATAAAAGAGATATAAGGCATCCCGAGTGAATTTATTGCAACATTGTTATAAAGAAAGCTGTAAAACTATTTCTTTATCTAAATTCAATTTCAATCGTGATTATTCGATCGAGAATTATATAAATTTATGAAAGTGGAAAGCACATATGAATAAATATATAAATTACAATTATGTTCATTCACAAGAATATTATTTCACAAGTGAAATATTTGTAGGTATAAATTTGTCAACAGAAATCACTTCCTTGAAATAGAGGTAAAAATAACGCAAATAAAATGAATTCGAATCTCCGCGCGACCGGAATAAGAACTATATTCCCACTGTTTCCATCGAAGCCTCCGGGGACTTGCTTATTCCTGACGGAGAGATTGGCTCGTAACGCGGTTATCCGGTACTTCGTTTCGCTGATAATGCCAAAGGATCACAGATGCATTTTCGACCGTCAGTAGGACGATCCGGCGCGGCATAGTCGATATAATTTTCTCGGAAGGTATTTGTGCCGTCATGAAACATCGCTATATAGCCTATATACGGAAAGCGATATCCGTCTATTATTTAAAAAATTAAAAACCTTACATCACAGATGCTTTAGTCAAACACGAATATTTGTGAAATATGCACAATTTCAATCATTGTAAAGAAAATTTCGCATTTGTGAATATTTTATTTATAATTCTCTCTTCTTTCTCTCTATAAATGCTGTAAATAATCTAGCGTGATAATATAGCGTGTATCCTTTCTCATTTTGTAAACGCTATTTCAAAAAACACGTAATAAACCTGCAACCAGGATACGCTGTTACTTTAATGTGCACAGAATTATTATCGCGTTGCGAGTTATTTCGTTAATATTATCTTCCTTTATCATTTTTTTCTATATGCTATATTTATGTTAAAAAAAAATGTTTTATGTAGCCTTTCTAGAATAACGAACTGTTATTCTACTATTCTGCGAAGTTCCCCCAGGGGGTTCTTGGCGCAGGTAAAAACGCCCCGTCGCCGTTCGCAGTGCCAATTTCTCGGATTACTCGTAAATACGTAGCGCAACGGGGGAAAAAAAGCGGGAACGCGCTGAACTCGATAAAAAAGAACTTTGTCAAAGTAAGTGCAGCGTGACTGTTGGTATTACGTTTCTCTCTGGAAAGACTCGAGATCAAGATTCCAAGAGGTGTTGGATCATTTTTGCGTTCCCTCCGGCTGCTGCTGCTGCTGCGACGCGATCTCTTTCTATCTCTTTCTCTCTCGCCGCTTATGGCGAGGAAAACTCTCGATCGGAATGAGGAGCTTCCCTAACGGTCAAGGAGCACCGTGCATTGGTCGTTTTGCCGAGGAATTTCCAGGTCGCTTCTCGTCTAAGTAAGTAACATGTCTCGCGCCGTCTGGATGGTACAGGGAATCTCTCGGGAATGCTGTACCGCGAGCGCTACACCCGATGCGCGCGTGTAACTCGACCAGCATGCACTCAGAATACTCGGTTTAAATGCATCTCGCCCTTTCCGTGGATAAACCTAATACTACTAGGATTTCTCCGGAGCTTCTAACTGTCGTTGAAACGCATCAGTATGATGAATGACGCTTCAGATGATTAATAATTGGGCACTGAAAATTTTCACTATTATCGAAATTATTACTTAATTATATTAAATTATGTTAATAATTTAATGTATTAAAGCACAAATTATTAATAATATGACAGTCAATAATTAATGTATCAAAGAAACAAAGTCGACAAAAAATAATAATCTCACAGAAATATTTCAATCAGATGAATTTAAAAAAAAAATGTTATTGCGTTCTATTGCCGATTTCATTTCAGCTAACAGCGTATCACATTACGTTCGCTTGTCGTCTCCTTTTCGATGCTATCGTGGCGAAATATACTTCCGACTTTCCGTGATCAGTGAAATTGTATCGGTTGTTTGGCTGCATGCAAAAGCAATTAGCGTCGTGAATATTATTCTCGGAATTATTATATAGATTTTAGGTACGCTAAAAAAATACGCTCATTGCAAGTAAATTTTTCGCGCTAAATCGCGCACAAATGCGAGTGGACAGGGTAGGCCGTTAAAGTCCATGCAAAGTTAGGCGCGCGCTCGGCGCGATATGCAAACCGTTTCGCAACTCTCGAAATGCCCAACAATTTCCCGTTGAGAATTCTCATAACTGAGTTTAATTATTGACACGGATTTATCGCTCGGCGTACTTAGAGTTCGAACGTCGCGGAAAGCATTTGGCACTTATTCAATTCAGAACCGACTTTCTGAACAAACAGTAATTTGTACGTAATTTATTTCTCAGACTCTTGCACTCGCCTTTGCCCCTTCGTAATTTCTTTATTATGTTGCACTAATTTCTTAGCGATTGTGTTTCGTATCTTACCTTATTTTGATAGATTCTTATAAGAAAAATTCATAATTCAAAATATACACGTAAGCTTATATTAAACGATCTAGGCCAGCCTCGATTTGACACGACTACGGATTTAAATCAGAAATAATAAAGATAAGAAGATGAAGAGAAAACAAAGTCGAAGGTCAAAGTAACAATCTACGGAGGAATTTACGGTTTATAGCAGTTTTCATTATAGCCTTAAAAGCGTCGCTTCCCTTCTTATTCGCTCAGAGCGTCGCCGGTAGCTTCGTTAGAATTCTTCGTAATTACGTTTCGTCATTGACGCGCAAACTTTATCGCTTCTTCTATGAAAGTCTTGTGCCAATGTAAGTATTTAAACAGTCGTGAGTCTTTTCGTATTACAATTAACCAATATTAAAAAGAATAGAACGATAAAATTTGGACATGTAATCGTTCAATAAAACAAACTGTGTATATTTGATACAAGCAGATACGTAAGTATCTATATCTATTTAGTAGCATAATAATATATTATTATTCAATATTACTGATAATACATTACTGTTAAAACTTTAGGTATGTATAACACATTACATTCAATCAAATTACATTTAAATTACATTCAATTAATATTTATGAATAAAAATTAATTCTAATAGATGAAAAATTTATACATCTTATTAATTATTACATTCTTTATTCTAAACAAACAACAATAGTAACATAAATAATAATAGCATATTACTATTAAAATTTTAGATATATTTAACACATTATCAAATTACTATCTTCAATTAATATCTTTGAATAGAAATTAATTCGAATAATCAGAAAAATTTATACGTATTTATAAGAATTCACCAGATATAAGGAATTGAATTATACTTCTATACTCTACATATAGATAATATATAATACGTAGATTGTATTATATATAATACACAGATTGTATATCGTTAAATTGTTACGGGGATAAAACCATTTTAAGCTTACTAGTCAGCAATTTCCAACGTCGCCAGTATATGTTCACGACATTCATTTCGTAAAGTCATGCTTTATCTTCATCTACCGACAATTAGTCAGTTCCGTAGGTAGTCGCGTGAATATCGGAACTTGATCCTTGCCAAAGAATTATAAGCATGTTTGAGATAATTTGAGCAGGAAGGTTTATCGCAAATTTTTACATAAAAATATGAAAATGAAGATATGACGTACGGATGAACTAGCAATAAATTTGGCAATAAAGATTGTACACATTAATTTCTATATTATTATTTTTGACGAAATGAAATTGATTTTTAGAATCAACCTATTACACTTCATCATTGGCGAACTCTCTCACTTTCCATATCGTTTCAAATATCGCGTCCAAATAAATCCCCTTTATAGGAAAATCGAATTTTTCCATTCTCTGAAAGGAAAAATTCCACGATCAACTTTCAGATGTAATTATCAAATGCAAATTATTCCTGAATTATTCTTGGTTGCAAAAAAACTGAATAACGGTTCGGCGACGAGATACCTGCTTTTCATGCCAGGGAAGCAAGTAAGAAAGCGACTCGAGAGGAAAATCGTGATGACGCATTAATGAACTGATTTCGACAGAATGTTGATGGATAGCATTTTGATATGAAATTTTACAAAGTTTTTAATTTATTTGCTCATCATTAAAACAAGAAAAACGGAAGAAATTTTACGATATCGCTTTTTCTACTTTAGGATAAATATTTGTATGCACATGTAACGTGCCTGTAGGTATTTTAAATTTAAAACAATGGATAAAAGTGTCACAAAAGGAAAACGTTCTTTTGTGGAATGTTCTTAAAATTATATATTTTTTCTTGCGTCATACTTATCTGTTTCTAATATTTTTTAATACTACGGAATACAGTTGAGTTGCAATATTGTTAACGGCCAATGCTGGTAGTAACACTTGTTATTCATCAAGTAATCTCGCTGGAGATTACTTGATGAATATCAGGATCACCATAGATTGTAGCGTAGAAAAATATTTATACCATGACGTAGCGACACGAAAATGATATTCACGTAATTTGCATTCGCGATGCTCATATGTCTCGTACATACACGAATACGTGAGCTGCGTAAAGAATCATCCAAATACTCGTCGCAAAATTTCATTAATCGCATTTTGTTCTTTTATAAAGTATTTCTACATACCTCAGGAAAATTGCAATATTAATTTTGAAAGATATAAAAATATAAACATTTCAATAAAATGTAATATGTATTTCAAAGGCTTATAAATATTTTGTTTAATTGTTAGTTTATATTTATATGATTTGGCGAGCGTATGATAATCTATATTTCTCGCTTTATAACCAGGGACTGTTAAAACCGACGTAAATAAACATTATTACATTATACAGTGCATAAAGAATCCAATAAACAATACCTATGTACGTACGCGATGTACATACATTTACGCTATAAAAACATAAATACAATATAAATAATTATTTTATATGACAACAAAAGTGTAATTTTTTAATAAAAATTGATACAAAATAAAAATAATTTCTTTTTACGTAGATAGAACTCTGATAACCACGATATTATTAATTTATTAATATTTTTAAAAAGAATATAGAAATTTGTTACGAGAATTGATACGTAATTATAAAATAAAGAATTAAATAAATAATAAAAATATATTTTTTTTTATTTTTCTGTTCTAAATGTGCAATTTACACTACATAATATTGTATTTACATTACATTATTGTTACGTACGCCTTTCATTTCAGATTAGATAATATTTAGTTTTAGTTAATTTAATTAAATACTTAATTAAATAAAATAGAATATTTAATTAAAAGATGATTATAAAAATTATCACTATTAATGAATTTTCTCGTAACGCGCAAAAATGTATTGCGTGAGCGTAACATTCGAATAAGGAGCGATGCGCACCCAAAATCTCGGCGATTGATTTGATCCTATATCACTCGCTTCTCCGCACACTGCTCCGTAACTATTCTCGTTATTTCGTACTACAACGTAAGTAACGATTTCTGCGTAAAATTAAAAATAATGGTTTATTACAACAATAATTTATTAAAAATATCACTAAATATAAAATTAATCATTTATAAATTTTTTTAATGGAACTCTGTTTCTACAAATTTGACATACTTACAATTACATTCATATCAATCGAAATTAAGTTTCGTTATGTGCAAAAGTATAAATTTTCTTATTGTTAATTGTTTGAATAGTATAAATACATATAAAAGATATAAATTAGTTCCCCATTTCAAAAATTATCAATAAAATTATTAATAAAATTGTGATGTAAAGAAAATAAAGTGCTTAAATAACACATATATTTGTATAATCTGCACAAATATCTGTGTAAATAATTTTATAAGTATAATTGAAAATTTTTAAAATATATTTTATAGTTATAATTTAAATATAATATAATTAAATTTATATCATGTAATTAAATTAAATTACTTAATATTATAATTAAACTATTATTGTAAAATATATTTTCAAAATTTTAAATTTTTAATAATTATAAAATTATTTGCACATATATTTACACAGATTACACAAATATATTTGTTATATATGTGTTATTTAACACATTTTCTTTACATCATAATTTTATTATTAATATTAATAAAAAAACAATTTTACATCTGTGTTCAAGTTTCATTAAAAAAAAGATTACTATCAAAATAAAGTTTCAATTTTTATATATTTCAAAAAATATGTTTATTACACAGATTAAAATAAAGAAAACTCACTGTCCGAAAAAGTAACCCTCGCTAAACGCCACGTTTGAAGATGTGGTGAATTATTACCGTAATGATAATTAAAAAAATGAGCCATTGTGTCGTTTACTGTTAATTTGCCAAGCTCGAGATCTCCGATGAATCCATTAGAATGGGTGGAACCACGCAGGAAATTTCGCTGAATAAAAACATAGCATGAACATAAAAGTAGATTTTTTTAAAATTTTATTTTAAAAATGATATCAACAGAATTTTCTAAGAGATAAATTCTCGAAGAACGTCTATTATTTAACTTCTGCAAAATACTTTCTTGCATTACGTAAGGACTAATAATCAATAAAAAAAATAAATAAATTGATATATACTGTTTACTCATAAAAGAGAGTTAAAAGTTAAAAATATAAATTTTTACTTTTAATTTCGCATTCAAATAAAAGAATCTAATATAAAAAGTAAAATCAATAAAAAAACGTACACATATATACATATATGCATATCATAAATATTCTTTAATAAATATGCCGTACTTTTTCGAAAAAAGACTCAATCATATCATTTATTTAAATATTTATTTCAATTTTTCTAAATTGTTATCATGTTTTATTATATCACAGAATATTTGATTCTGACTCACCAATGCCGCTATTGGCACGACACCTTTACTGATGTATTTGAGCTCTTGAATTTCGGGCTTGGACACATCGACGGCAATAGCCGCCTGAAAGAGCACTACAACCGCGAATAAAGCAATCGAACGGAACATATTGATACTGTTTAATTGAATCGTGTGAATTGCATCCGATTCTTTTATACCTACTATCTCAAGTACAGTCTTAAGATATGATACGCTACGTGATAAGATACACTATATCCTATCGGATATTCAAGAAATTCTTCGAGAAGAAAAGTAGAGGGGAAAGCTTATCTGTAAAAATATGCAAAATTTTTTTGTAATTTTTTTTTCATCGCGATTCTTTTATGTATCTCCCTTACAGACAGTAAATAAGAAAAATAAGAGAACAGCTCTGCGCACACGGGTTGCAAGCTGTCTATTTCCTTCCTACAATCGACGAATTTGTATAAATGAAAAACTCGATAGAATATCAATTACTAGAATACTATTATTTATATATCATGTTGAATATTTAAGTTGAATGCTTAGTGTCATGACGGAAGTTTTGCCTACTAACGTTATCTATGAAAAAATAAGCGGAGATTCCGGAGCAAATTATCTCTGCTGCTCGGATCCACGAATTTCATTTAATTGTGTAAAAAGGAGTAATTATGAAATAAAAATGAGATACTTACAGCTTTAGAAGAAAATAAAAATATTATACATACTTAATATAATCAGCTAGAAATCCAACGATTCAATCTAATTGAAATTTCTATAAATTATATAATTAATATAAGATATAAGCGTTGTTTACGATTACATTCGACTGAATCGTAGTGTACAAAGTATTACTCAATCGTGACATATATATTATTCCTATCTATTGGAAACAAACTGTAAGACTTTGCCGGCGATTCAAAATTCAGCGCAGACTGCTAATCAATCAAGCAGCTAGTCCAGACGGTTAGCTAGGATATTCTGTTTGCAGGACGAGCCGATACCCCGCCAATACGTCACGGTCCGCTTAAAGCATACGTTCAATTATTCATGAAATTGTCGGCGAACGTCACGCCTCGTACGTCCCGAGATCGTGTTCTATTCGGAGACCACCGCGTGGTGTCCGACCGATGCCCGAGAACTGTCAAGATTGACTCCAAGTGAGAGACTTCGCGAGAGCGATATATCGCGAGCGATTTCATATGAATTTTCGCACACAGAAAAAAAAGGATCTATTTAAATTTAATATTAAAGGATCTATTTAAATTTAATTTCTGTCGATGAATGAATTCTTTCGTTCATCGGCAAGCTCATTCGTCGAACTAACATTCAGTTTTATGGGAGAAAATGTATGTACATTTAAAGTTTAAAAAACTTTATCTTTATTAGCCTTTATTAGACCTTTATTAGTTAATATACTTGATATTTGAGTTATCTTATATCTTATCGAGGACTTCCTCAATCAACGCACGCCTTTTCGAAGAAGCGTGCGAAAAATAACTCGACGAAAAAAATTACTTAATCGCAGGCGCTCTTTTTCTGCACATCTCTCTCCCTCTCTCCCCCTCCCCCTTCCGCCGTTGCTTATCTCGCGTTAGTTGCAAGCTCGTAGGTATTTCACGCGCGCGCGAACGCGACTAATTAGAAACGCATTATTACCATCTCCGCCCTACGGGAGAGTAATTAATTAAGCGGCCTCGACGGAAGACAGGCCGTAAGAATTCTACGACCGTTACAAAACTGCCGTTAATAAATCTAGGCTAATTAGTTAGAGGCAAAGTCGAGTTACGTGCGCTAACGTGTTTTATGCATTGTTCGAGCCAAGTTTACAAAGTACAACACACACACACATTATATCGTCGTCGTCGTCTCGGCGCGAGAGCATCAACGCATGCCCGGCTTTCGGTCGCGCGCCTGCAAGAAATCGATTAACACATTTTATTCCGTATCTCTATATATTTTCTTCAAAATCGTTCCCATTTATTGTGTACTTAATATCATATCGTTTGTGTTTCTGCTTGCAGAAACATAATATCAATTCTAAATATTAACTGATATATTAAATACTAAACTGATAAATAGTTTCTCGAACAGCCATATCAATTTGAACACAATATTAGCACAGTCGATTTCGATTACATAGTATAATTGCAGTACAGGATGGAAGAGCATTTAATGAGAAAACATTGGTTCAACAGACGATCATGGTTCTTCTTTATAATAAATACAAATAATACAGATAAATCTAATATATAAAATCGGTAATATATAAAATAAATTAAAGAGAGATAGGAAAGCAAGTAAGTGCTAAAATCTGCGAAAAAGAAATATACGTTCTTAATGATTCATTCATTATATCGATTCGTACTACTTTACAAGTGCAAAATAATTTGCTGAATATACACAATAAAACATCTGTTAATGTTATCGTGGAAAAAACAAAGATAACAAATGCGAATGAATCTCTCATTTGATTCTCGAGAATTACGAAGAGATCGACAACCGATGTACATCTCGAGAGTTGATTGCCGATGCGCGTCTATTACGTCTTAATTACGATTCTGTGAAGCGCGCCAGAAGTTCTCATCTAAGCAATTAAGACAGAATTAGTGCAAACTAAAGTAAGATTCAGTCTGTTGTCGACGGTGTATACATACTGTGGAAAAAAAAGCAGGCGTTAGAAATTTTAAACTCCCAACTTGTCAAGAGTTAAAAAGTTTGCTTAATATTATAAAAACTGCTACATCCATTTTTCACTGTACCTAATCGGCAACTATTTAGTCCAGGCTTTCGACCGGAAGTTGATTAATTAAATTGGTATCAGCCGTCCGCGCTCTGAGATCGTTTATCGTTCTAAAAGTGGCGATTTAATCAAATTTACGGCATTACGAACGCGGGGCTTGAAATGTCGAAAGGTCGATATATTTAATTAATTCTTTTAAGCAGCGATATCGCCATTAACTTTATTAACAATCCTGTTCTAGCGGCCGGAACGATCGATAATTAATCGATTATTGGACTCAATACATCTGCATGAGTATATATTCTGTATATTTTAATACGCGAGCACAATCACGCGATCGCGATCGATCGTCCACGTGGCTCGATTCTCGCCACCATGCGCTCGCTGGACGGTCGGCGAAATGCTGAGGAATGATCAGGAACGGGCGGGGGCGCAACAGTTGCGTGGGTGGATGCGCATCTGCGATGAAGGAGTGGAGAGGCGGGGAGAGGGGAACGGTAACGGGGGACCGGAAGAGGGATGAGAAGCACACGTAGAAGGGGGTTGAAACCCGGCGCCCGATGTGACGTGCCTCAGTATTCACGTAGCATTCACATCGCAAGCAACCCCAGCCACGAGACTTCGTGAGAAACCGCGTCCGCCGAGAGAAATCTCGCGAGAAGATCGGTTTGCGGTCGGCTATCAATTGAAGATCGGCGTCGCTTGAAACTCGGGCGAATTGATTTTTATGGGACTCTTATCCTCCCCCGTCGCGTCACCTCGATTCGCGCTTAGTTCGCACTGAGAAAAGAGAGAAAAAAAAGTGATCGCTCGTCGTCGCGAAGTGCGATCAGTGGTGATCGGTGTGACAGTATCGAAAATGCAGAGAGTCGCCTCTGAGTCAGTGCGTCGAGGTACAATCGACGTTGAGCGCATAAGCGATTCCGCCTAGAAGTTCGATATTAAGAGCAGCGATACCACGTGGAGCTCCGTCCACGATTTCCATTCTTCAACATTTGCGGTTTGGATCTACGAGTAAATTATATGATAGACAAATTCTAATTTCATATTGCACGATTAAAAATTTATCGCGCGATTAAAAATTTTGCGAAACTTTCAAAAGATGTCAGACATATGTAGAACAATTTTTAAAGAATTATATACGATTAAATAACATACAATATGTATAACATAACATGATAACTTATGTATCATTCTTTTCGTAAGGTTTACGAAGTCCAGCTTTCATTATAAAAAAAGGGACAATATAAAAAAGCACACATAATCTAGTTCGTTAACATAAAATTTACAGAGATATTATGTCCAATTATTATCCTTTGCATTTTTTTTAAATATAACATTAATTTTTATATCACATATAAAAACCACTTTAATTAAATTGAAAATTGGAAAAGCTGCAATTTCGACAATCACGATGACTAAATTCTATTCACGCGAGTTAATACTGAACATAAATTTCGAGCGTTTGAATTATACACCATTCCTGGCTTCGTGTCCACTATACAGACCGCACATTGAAGTTTCTCAGTACAAAGTTCAAAGTTCAGCGTCGTTACGAGTGAGCGGTATTCTTCACTGGATAGTCCGAAATGATGCGCGGGCGTGATAAAAACCGGATGAGCATATATATATATACATCCTACCGATTCGCACAATATCCGTAATATCGTACAACCGACAGTACTCCTACGTAACGTTCGCGCAATAGAATGTAGATCCCGGTAATCGCGAATATTTGCACCCGGAATGCAAATGTGAAACTGCGTAAAAATATCTGGAAAAAATAGAAAGCTGCGTCAAAATAACACTGAAAAAAATCTCGACGACAGGCATTGATACAGATTATCATTTACGTGAAATATCCGAGTTCATTTTTCCTGCATAATCTTTTTTTCTTATTAAAAAAATCGATTTGCTCTGAAATAATCATTTCATGAAGCATTGAATTAATAGCAGCATAATATGATATAATATTCAAATAAAATAAAAAATTCGATAAATTGATATTAGTGAGAAAAATAAATTTATATAATTCTTCCTTTTTTATTTTTGTTGATTATACATCTAGCCTTGTTAGACTTTATATTCAAAACATTTATAATTTCTATAAAAATAACGTCTGTCAACGCAAAAGTTTTAATTACAAATAAATTCGTAATATAATAATGAATAAAAATTGAAAAAAAAAAACAGATTATGATCGAGAAGCATGTTTGTTGCACAGAATTCTTCTTTTATACTTTAACGAAACCTTGTTTAATTATTTTGATGCGAACGCTTTATACGTTTTACCTTTTAAAGAGCTCCGGCATGATCAATATTGCAGCCAGTACTGTTAATACTTCAACGCGCAACTTCCTTTAAGAATTTCTCGTATATCAATGTTAATCAAATTAATGTCGGCAATTTGAATTGTAATT